ACCAGGTTTCTGTTTTCCGATTTCCCTAATGATGAAACCATTTCTCCTGACAAATATAGGTTCACTAGAGTTTTATTCGAAATAAATAGTAGCCCATTTCTATTAGCCGCTACCATTAAACATCATCTGAAAAAATATAATAAACTTTATCCTACAACGGTTAACTTTTTGAATGAGAACGTATATGTAGATGATGTGATTGGAAGCCAACCAACGATCAATGAAGCATTAACTTAACTACGAGTCTAGAATTGGGTCCAGATATTTAAGGAAGCAAGCATGCAGCTTCACAAATGGCATAGTAACTCGAGACAATTACATGAATTGTGGGTGTGGTAAAAAGGGTATCGTTCCAGATGAAAATCCTGAAGATTTTAATAGAGAAAATTTCCCATTTAAAGTCTTAGGTATGGCATGGGATAATTCAAAGGACTTACTGTATTTTGATGTTTTGGAACTTATTGTCTTTCACATCTAAACCAATAGAAACAAAACGATTTCTTCTACAAGTGTTGGGTCGGATATTCGATCCGATTGGAATTTTAGGACCTTTCACTGTTAGAATAAAGTGCTTAATACAGAAGATTTGGTTGTCACAAATAGATTGCGATGAACCGTTGCCTAAAGATTTGTCCTCTGAATGGAGAAAGTGGTGTGAAGAGCTACCTTAAATAGCTGAATTCTCCATCTCTCGTTACCTTTTCATGCACTCGAACGTTAATGTCGAAAATCTCGAACTACATTGCTTTTCAGATGCAAGTGTCAAAGCCTATGGTATAGTCGCATATTTACGTTTCACGACAGAAAATAAAGAAATCAAAACGGCCTTTGTCTCTTCTAAAAATAGGGTAGCCCCACTAAAATCCCTTACTTTACCGAGGTTAGAATTAATGGGGGCATTGTTATCAGTTAAGTTAGTCAGCAATATCCTGAAAGCACTGAAATTGAGAATTCCGTGCTATTTTTGGACAGACTCAACAATTACTTATTTTTGGATCCAGAAACAACCTGAAGCCTTCAAACCCTTTGTCAGGAATAGTGTTGAAGAAATACAAAAATTGAGTTAATCTCAAGATTGGTATTATTGCCCAGGTGTCGACAACCCTGCAGATCTCGTATCTCGGGGAACGAAGATTTCCAAGTTAATAAATGAGACCATTTAAACGCAAGGTCCCCAATGGCTTCAACTCCCTCACGAACTTTGGCCAAGATTAGATATTAAAGAAACAATAGATGAAAACAAGCTGGAATACTGAAAGAGATCCGGTGATATACATCAACTTGAATGTACAATCGAAAAATGTGCAGACGATCTTTTCGACATATCAAAATGTAGCAAATTAGAGAAGGTGTTGAGAGTCACTGCTTGGACAACACTTTTCATTAGAAAATTAAGAAAAACTAGCGACATTCAAGGAACTCTCACAGCTGAAGAGTTACAAGAAGCAGAAAATTTCTGGATAAGATCAGAGCAAAAGAAGTTTTTTGCCGAAGAATATAAAGAATATAAATCCCTCAAAGAAGGTAATTCAGTTGGAAAAAAAATTCTCCTTTGTATAATTTTCTTCCTTACATTGATGAAAGGAAATCATGAGGTTGAGAGGAAGACTGGAATTTTCTGACTTCTCACTAGATAATAAACATCCAATAGTCTTACCTAAAAATTCTCGACTAACGATTCTGATTGTATGCAAAGAACATGAGAAGATAATGCATGGAGGAATTGCTGCAACTTTAGCTAAAGTCAGATCATGCTTCTGGATTCCTAAAGGACGACAGTTAGTCAAAAAAGCATTAAAAGCTTGTATAATTTGCCAAAAATATTTAGCTAAATCAGCAGACCAGATGACAGCACCCTTACCAAAGGATAGAATCCAAGAATCGCCTCCATTTGCAGTCTGTGGAATTGATTTCGCCGGACCAGTTTACGTAAAGAATTCTAAAGACACTCGAAAATCCTATACTGTTTTGTTCGTTTGTGCAGTAACCCGAGCTGTACACTTAGAACTTGTATCAGATATGTCAACAGAATCCTTTTTACTTGCATTTCGCAGATTTTTGAGCAGAAGAGGAAACTGCGTAATCATCTACTCTGACAACGCCAAGACCTTTAAGAGGACAAAGAAAGAACTTGAGAATTTTTCAAAAGTTTTAAAAGATGACAAATTCAAGAATTTCATTGCCAAAGAAAGAATCCATTGGAAATTCATAATCGAACGAGCCCCATGGTGGGGAGGGTTTTATGAGAGACTTGTTAGATCTGTTAAAGAATGTTTAAGAAAAATCGTAGGAAAAGCATTGTTGACTTTCGAAGAAATGTCTACACTACTTGTTGAAGTGGAGTCAGTTCTTAATTCACGACCTCTAAGTTACGTTTTCAACGACAATGACGAGCCACAGCCGTTGACTCCAATGTACTTCTTAAACATTGGACAAACTGATTTGAAGTATCCTTTGACCTTTGCTAGAATCATCGTTAGCGAAACGACAAGAGAAACGCTGTTAAAAAGAAAGCGTTATCAAGAATTGCTGTTAAAACAGTTGTGGTGGAAATGGAAGCAACAATATTTATTAGATCTTAGAACTGCCCATTTCTTGAAGAATCCGCAACTTCAACCAGAACTAAAAGTAGGAGATGTTGTTTTAGTCGAAGGAGATAATAAAAACAAACTCTTATGGAAACTTGGTAGAATTATAAAAATTATTCCTGGACGTGATAGTAAAGTCCGATCATTCGAAGTAAAAACTGATAATGGGACTTTAAAACGTACTGTTCAACATCTATATCCTCTTGAACTTTAGATATTTTGAACTTTAATGATTTAGTTATGCTTTTTTCTTTTTTTCTCTATTAATGATTAAATTGAATATCGTTAGTTAAGTTTGTTCAGTTAAGTGGAAAATATTTTTTAAAATTTAGCTTCATTTATTAGTTATAACATTTATTATTTGATACCTGTATTGGAATTGAAGTGTTTGACTAATTAGTATTTTTTTAATATTTTTATAGAATAGTGATTTATTTTATGTATTGACTTGATTGTATGTATAACTGAGTTAGATGAAAACTCTTGTCAGAGTTCAGGTGGGGAGTGTGTTAAGGAATATTCTTTGATATCACCAAGAGATGGCGTGGCGTTAGGGGGTCCATCTATTGGCTTACTTGACCTTTCCCCTGCTGAACACGTGACTTGAAAAAATATTCTTCTTCTTGAAGGTAGAATTTCGATGCACTATGCAATAGAATTCGATTTAGATTTTAGCTGGAACTATTCAGTTCTTGCCTTTTGAGCATTAAATATTCGATTCGGGCATTTTAGCCTACATTGTATATATGTAAATATTAAGTTTAATTAAAATTTATGGAAAACCCTCCAGGCCATGCATCTCGTCCTTTGGATTATGAGTGATTCGACTTTGATCTAGAACTTTCGTTACACAGGTTAATATGTCCACCTAAGCTTATCTCTAACCAAACAAGTGTTCTGTCAGCAGCAAAATTACAATCTTTCTTTGACATGCACTCAACTGTATCAAGTCACACATTCACTTCAGATCACAATTTGTTGATGATCTAGCTCCAAGCTGAATCTAGATTTGTTAGAAAATAGAACTTAGCTCACCTCAGTAGGCCATAAACCACAATGCTCTTCAGCCCAGCTTCTTCAAGTCCTACAATGATGAGAAGCCACTGGGACACAATTAAGTGGCCTACGTGCTTACAATTCTCATGTGGGAATTGTTTATACAGTACGGAGTCTGACGTCCGAACTCATCAGGACCGAGAGAGTTGTTAGACCATTTGTTATGCCTTCTATTGCTGAAATAGGAAATTATGACCTTTTAATGCATGACAATGCCAAACCTTATTCAGCATACATTGGGAACTAGTTATTTGAAATAGAAATAGAGCATATAATAGTGGTTGTCATGCTGCCCAGGTGTGAATTTAATACAGTAGGCTTGAAACAGATTAGATAGACGCTTTCCTGCTAGATCATAACTTCTGTTGATACTCTTTCAGTTACAAAATATCCTCCTTGATAAGTGAGGAAAAATCTTTTTAACTCATGAAACACCTTATTAATTCAGTGCCTTGCATTTGAACCTAATTAGACGATTGAAAAAGTTTGACAGTGCTTATTTTTCTCTCTCCAGATGGTATGTTTAGGAATAATTTTTTATGAAATTGGTTAAGTTTAATGCAAAATGATCTTTGTTAACAGTAAACATGATTTTTCACTTGTTTGATTTTTTTATTTTATTGTCCCTTTCAAAAATGTATTTTTATACTGTACTGCATATTTACCAGCAGCTGTATATTCTCGCTACATCATCTGCTTCCCTAATTTTCTTGAGCAGTGTAATAAATTTACAAATTTATCCAGAATGTAACATTACTTTTTATTAAATGGTTCAGTAAATTTCAGTGAATGATATTGCAAACCTACAGCCTTCATAATAAAATGTCGTTATTGTAATATTGGCAACTGATAGCTATATTTAGCTAATTGTTACACTTCAGGGTTTTATATGCATCTTTCACACTCATAAGGCATGAGTGAATAACCTAAAACATTTAAACTGCTTGGTGTAGAATAGCTTTTCATATATTTTTATGAAACATTTATAAAATTTTTTATTGTTATTGATTATTTTTATTTTGCATGTTCTTTATTAATAGATAAATTCATCAGTGTTGTTAAAAACTATCAGATTCAAATTCTCATATCAGTTTTATTTTACTTAAAAAAATCAATAGCAGCTTCTAGTAGTTATGTATGTAAATTATATATTTCTGTATGATAATTGTTGAAGTATAATGGATGCATGTAAAGTTGGCTTACTTTAAAAATTTTAAAAGTTATATTATCATTAATTCTTATGAAGGGAATCCTGTTTTCTGGAAAGATTGTTATTTAATTTGTGGAACATTTGTATTAATATTTTCTGGTCTGTGACTAAATTAAAAAAATAAAAATATTTTTCTCCCTTTTTAGGTAGCCTACTTAGTGGCATGTTTAAATCCACAAGTAAAAACCCATTCCAATGCATGCCCCCTTTAGATGCTGAATCTCATCAACTTAGTGTTCTCTCTTTAAGATGTCTGGCACAGTTGCTTAGCTGGATTCCACTCTCATCTTATATCACTTCTTCATTGCTAACGACAGTTTTTCATTTTGCTAGTTTTGGCTGTCACCCTGAACCTGTAAGCATTGATGTATGTTTTTTATTCATCTGGACAAAGTTACTCTCTACTTTCTGGCATCTTGTACTGAAGAAGATCTTTGCATGGTTTTCCTCAATATTTTTTTATTTGATTTCATCACATTTTGTACTAAACAATAATGAGTCTGTTTAGCTGATTGATTTGTTATTTATACTTATAACAAGTTATTTTCATTTAAATCTAATTAATATATTATAATATGCTCTGATAACATAAACCTCTACTTTGCCTTCTTATCAAACTGTTATTTAAAATTTAATTGAAGAATGTTTTTCTAAGTATCCAATTTTAAGTGAAGGTAGTACATTTCTGATGATGGATTCTCCTCTTTCATATAAGCATTATGTGGTAAAAAAGTATTAAGTAACTTGAAATCTTAATAATAATGCCTTTTCCTTTTTAATAAATGCCTTATTTGTCATTTTGCAGTAAATTAAAAAAAAAAAAATCAGTCATCTAGGCTAACCATTTAATATAATTATTCGCCAAAATATTGTTGATTATTGTTATCAGTTTTTAAATAATTAACTTTATTTTAATGTTATTCATACCGTTTAATGTGGCTTCTTCCCTCTAAATTTATTTATTATTAGCTAATAATACTTTCAAATTTCAGGCAATTTTCTCTGACATAACCCTCAAACTAATTCTAGCAGTATGATGACATACTATCATGAAATTTAATGGATGTAATTTTTGCTTATGTATGCAGCTAAATAAATATAAAATACCTAAATTTATTTTAAAATATCATTAAATAGATGTCTGTCTTTTATTTAGCTGCAAAATGTCTGGAAATTTTTTTTTTTTTTTTCTGATCCAGATTGGGCAGATTCTAATCTCAGTCTTTAGTGGAGAAAACAACTCCTATTATATTTATAATAGTAATGCTTTGAGAATTATATATATGTGTGCGTGTGTGTGTGCAAGTCATATGTAATCGGCAATTTTTTTTTTTTTTTTTTTTTTTTTCTCAAGTGGTACCATAATTAATGTACCTCTCAGCACAGAAAATGTGCACTATGCTTATAGACTGGAATTTTCTTAAAACACATTTGGAAAACTTGAGGGGAATTTCATTCTCTTTTTGAGTGGCAACTTTGTTATAAAATTGCTGAATGTTGGTAGTAATTTTTATATGGATTTTTTTTTAACCTTAGGGAACATTAAAATTAGTGTTTTTGTGGTTTTCCCATGTGTAATAGAAATAAAAACCAGTTTCTGTCAGGAAGCCCGCCACAAGGCTATCCCTTCTTTCAGACAGATAAGACTAGTGTGATTTGCGATAAACATAATTTATTGAGAGATTTATATATTAATGTCTCAGTATGTTTAGTCTTTGCTTAATGCCACAGCTTAAGGAGAGCAGTGATTATGTTACTTTCAGTTAGATGGAACATTATTACATTCACATGTCAGTTTACTAGTGATTTTAACTAAAAAATCTTTTCCAAAGATGTATTAGACATAATCTACAATGTATATTTGAGGAAACTTTGTTAACTTTGTTATCCCAATGTTTTTGAATTTATACCCTACGGCTTTTTATTTTGAGGGTTTATGAAAGACAGTATGTTTATCTCTTCTTTTCCTTATCATTTACGTGAACTGAAAGAATTGGAGATTATCTAAAAAATGTACTGGATATAACCAGGGCTGTGGAGTCGGAGCTGAGTGTCTAAAAACAGGTTGACTCCAGTTTTCATTGGACAGTTTGAATTTGAAATGAAATTAAACTGGATTGAAAAAAATTAATGACAAGCCGAGTTATTATTTTTATTTATGGACTATATACATTAATAAATAGTTATATTCTATTTTATTGAAATATTAATAAATAAATATGAAAGAGAAGGATGGATGTGATATTTGCCATTAATGATTAAACTGATTCATTTAGTTACAAATCGCTGGTAAATTTAAGTAAGAAGCAATAGCAGTAAGAACTCCCAAAATTGATGCCATTCTTAGGAAGCAGCAACAAAAGGATCAATTATTGATCAAGCAACATGATAAGGAAGTACATATTTGATGACATAAAGAGGTTTTTAGAATTAAGGACTTTTTTAGAAGATGTAGACAACTCTAATGTTTCACTAACAGAAAGACTGGGAATGATTTTGCCAGAATTGGAAATTGACATACAGGTTGTTAATAAAAAACTTTTTTTACAAGATTTTGAAACTCTAATGTTTCACTAACAGAAAGACTGGAATGATCTTGCAGAATTGGAAACTCTTCTTTCTGCACCGTATATAGCCACAAAAAAAAAAAAAACTGCAATCTGAAGAATTATCAGGAAGCGAGAATGGGATGTTTGTTCTTTCTGAAATGGAGGGTTTATTGCAGAAGGAATCATTTCTTCAACGAAGAAAAGAGAAACTAGTTTGCTAGACAAGGAGATCTTGCTGGGTTCAATCTGTAGATCCAAAACACGGAATTTTCCTGGATGACGAACAAATTAAAAAGGCAAAGAAAGCCACCTATGAACTTTCATTAAGATTGAAATTATTCTCAGAACAATTGGAGAATTCGAGTGAGGACAGTAAAACTGCAGACATTGTAATTGAGTCTCTATCATCCTCTTCCAGTGATGAATTAGATTTTGAGGAGTATTTTTGGATAATATTGAAAATGCTAAGACAAAGCGAATGAAAACGAAGAACCAGGAGCCTTTAGATGTAAAAATGAAAAAATGCAAACAAGATTTCTACACAGTCTTTGAGAAAATAGAGAAATATGATTGCACTTTCAAAACACTAGAAGTTCATTTAGAACTTCTAAAAATCTATCCTGACAAGTTAAAAGAAGTAGCCCTAACAGTAACAGCTCTTCCTGCTACTCAGGTTAGTGTGGAAAACCTCTTCTCAGCTCTGAAGTTTATCAAATTGGATCTATGGCCCTCCAACAAAGAAGATCTTGCCGAAGCTATACTGTTTCTTAGAAATAACTAATGCCAGTTTTACCATTTCATAATAAATGCTAATTAATATAAATAATTTGCTATGCCATCAATTTTTTTTCTGTAGCATCTAGTATTTCTTTTATATTGAAAAAATAATCTGTAACTCATGTATACATGTTTATATATATATGATAATTTATTTACTAAAGAAATATTGATTATATTATCTCCTAAGATTAATTTTAGTAGAATTATCTAAAAAGAGTGAATCCATAGTTAGTAAGTTTAATTCCGAAAATTGTTTTAAAGTAACTTTAATGCAAATTGTTAAAAATGTTTAACGGGGACTTGAATTAATTCACGAATAACAAAAATTTAAATTGTAAAAAGAAATTAAATTAAAAGCAAGTAATCATTGCCATTGATCAGAAATTAGTTGACTTTTTAAGAGGAACAAACCAACTCCCGTTCAATGATCAATAATTAAGAAATAAATACGAAGGTGTTTCGTCCTTTACTCAAGTAATAAGGCGATGCCAAACTGGCAATTTAAGTTAGGCCAAATATTTCCGTGAATTGAAGGGATCAAGAACCAATGCAGAGCACTAAAGAACTCATTCTGATTAAGCATTTTCACTAATTCAAGTTTGAGTGAAAAGCAATTTATGCAGTAAAATTGATAAATTACTTGAGTAATTGTGCCCCGACACCCTCGTGTTTATGAAATTTAATTCAAAACTATTTGTAAAAAATTAAACATTGGAAATTGGCATTATGAAATAAAACTCAAAGTACTTCTGGCTTTTTGTTTGGAAGGAAGGAGGTGAATGAAAGATAAAATGCTTATTCCTTCTTTTCTTTATGATTTAAATGAGCTGAAGCTATGTATTACAGCTGATCTTTATGTTTTTGTTAGATGTACATATCTTAAATCAAGTTTCTAGAACTAGACCAATGGAACTAGTATATATGGACTATTAGACTGAAATATGTAAGAACTAGACTATTGGATAGATATATGTTGTGTGATTAAAGATGCACATATGGAATATTTTTTAAACAACTTAATGAAACATACTTTTCAATATCTTAACTGTACTTTTATAGATTACTAAAACTAATTACTTCCTTTCTAATAACTATATTATTTTTATACATTATTTATGTTACATATATAATTATTACTGCATACTAATGCTAGTAAACAAATAAATGTTACTCTTAGTTAAGTAATATTTTTATAGAGTTCTGAAATTCTGTGTAAATTTTTTAAAATTTTCCTTTCGATCCATTTCATCTGTCAAAAGATACTACTAGTACTGTAAAATTTAATTTTTATACTTTACTGTATCAGTTTTGTTGTCATGTTTTGTTAATTAACTTCATTTAAAAAATTAGGTAATGAATGTTGGAATGCAACATGTACAGACCTTAAGGAGAAACACTGAGCTGGGAATTCAAGCTATGGGCTGCATCAATGAAATAATGTCCAAACATTGCATTCCAGCCGATTATGAAGGCTTTTTATTACAAGTGTTTCAAGATACCTTCCATTTACTACAGAATTTAACAAAGGATAATTCTAAAAGTGCTGCAGGCAGAAATACTTTAGCCAGTATTGATGACATGTAATGCTTTTATTTATAAATATACTGAATTAAATATTCAAGGCAAAATTTCACTGACTTAAAACTATGTTAGCATGCTTAGTTTTATTTCTTTCGTGTATAGAAGGGTTTCTTAAACTTTTTACATTCGTGACCCCTTTTTATGATTGAGATTTTTTCACGACCCCCAAGACCCCATAATATTTTTAAAAATTTTGTGGGACTCCATAAGTATTGTGCAAATCCGACAGACGCGTGAGTGAAAATGTCAATTTTTTCTCTTCTACCATAATATACTGTTTCAGTTTTAGGTCATTAACTTTAATTTCTAATTTTAAGACTTGGAACAGTGTGAAAATTTTAAATAAGTAACAGACGAAATGACAGCGTCACTTGCAAAGCAAGAAAAATGAACGTTTATATTATAAAAATAATGCGTCGAAACGTTTTTGTTTTTTTCTTTGCCAGTATTGTATTATCTTTATCTATTTTCATATACATTGTGTAAAAATATTTGATACTTGTAAAATTATTTTAATAAGAAATATAAAAACTGCTAAAATTTTTGGCGAGCCCCTGCTGCAGATCCCCTGACCCCCTAGGGGGTCGCGACCTACAGTTTAAGAAACCCTGATGTATAGGCTGCTACAAAGCTTCAGTAGATCTGAGATGCTAAACATACACTTGTGTTCAAAAGTAAAAGAATAAACATATTTCCTAAAAGTATCCATTCAGGATTATTCCATGATGTGTCCATATGATATGGTCCATGACAGCAGGAATATTCAGAAAAAACATTGCGTGAATAACCCTTGAAATTAATATTTTAATGGTAACAGAGTTCACAAGGGGGGGGGAAGAAAAAAAAGATACTTGTGTAGTTGTAGCATTTTTATAGCACTTAGCTGAGAGTACCAAATGTTGATTGTCTTTGGGCATCATGACTTTTGAATGCGGTTACCCAGACCATCTAGATATGGATCCAGTCTCCTTAAACTGTTTCCACAGATTGCAGACACTAAGAATTATTCTGCAGCTTGGAATTGTTCTGCATGTAATCTGCCAATAATTTTCCACATTATTCCATCATCTAAATGTTAGTTATTACTCATTCTATCAAACTGTTTATAAATTTAATTTTTTAGGAAGCACCATGATTATAACAGATAAGAGCAGAGCAAAAAAGATCACCTTTCATGTTTAATGTTTGCTATACTAACTACATATACATCTCCGTATATTATATTAGTTAGGAAAAATATTCTTAGAAGTATATATATATAATTTGTAATTACTTAAAAGATTTTAAGAAAAATATTCTTAGAAATATATATTTCCTAACGCATTTTAAGTAATTACAAATTCATTCATTTTGAAGTGTATCCAAGCAATTAAGGCATTAATTTGAAGCAAAAGAAATCCAGGCATAAAGCCACAGAAGTGGTATGGAATTGTTCTGAAGAAAATATATTACAAAAAAAAAAAAAAAAAAAAAAAAAAAAAAAAAAAAAAACCCTTTCCAATGGCATTTTAGGGAAATTTGCGATTATAGAACAATACCTTGGCCAGTTGGAGGGTTAAGTTTGAGCCGCAGTTTTTATTTTAAGCATGTAATAAGGATTTTAATCTTTGATATTAGTGTTGTATGTTCCAATTAGTAATCCTTATGGATATACAGTCAAATACCGAAAATCCGCTGACCTGAAATCCGCCAACTCCTGAAATCAGTGTTGCCTCTCAAAACATAAACATTTAGTTTATAGGTTCCGGAAACCACAACATGGAGTACGAAATATCGAAAAAAAAAAATACTTACTGGGTAATGGCGTCATAATTACTGAATAATAATGAATCATAACAAAAATACGAAATTATTGTCATCGTGATAGTTTTTTTCTCCTCCAATCTGCATCGAAATAAAAAAGCAAACGATTAACTCAACTCTTTCAAGTTCACGCTTCACGTTGTTGTACTTTCTGAGCTTTGTAATTTCACGAGATTGTTTAGTGATGTCGTTTTTTTTTATCCAGATATTTTGAGGGTAAATTAAGAATATTTTTAATTTCAGCGCTTTTAAATACAGTGAGAGAAAAGAAACGCACTCGTGATTTTACTGCTTGCAATGTTGAAAAACGTAAACACGTTGCATTGACGGTAATGAAAAAAGTGGAAATTCTGCTAAAGATAGAGGCAGGTGCTTCTGCTCAGTTTATAGCAGAATCATATGGAATTGCCACATGGACTGTGTACAATATACAGAACAATAAAGAAAAGCTGTTGAAATTTTACAGCAAAAGTGATTCTAACACCAGAATCCGAAACCATAAATCTTTACATGAGGCGAAATCGGCAAACCTTGATGCTGTCTTGTACAAGTGGTTCTGGCAGCAGCAGAGTGATGAGGTACCTATTTCAGGACTACTTCTGAGAGAAAAGGGGAAGCAGATTCATGCTAATTTAAAAATAGATGAGCCTAATGTAAATGAACAATATAATATAATCAGTTTATATATGCAATAATAATTTAATGCATATAATTAATTATTGTATTAATGTATATAATAATTTAATTAAATGTATCTAATATGCATTATTTATTTTGCACTTTTAGTCTGAATATTATCTTTTCTGTCCTGAAATCCACAAAATCCTAAAATCCGCACAACCTCTGGTCCCAAGCGTTGCAGATTTCTGGACTTCTACTGTACTATTTAATGCTGCCTTATTAGAATTATTTTATATTTCATCTTAATAAAAGACTTTAAAAGTATTTTATAACCCTCCCTCCTCCTACGCAAGAAGAAAAAAAACTGTTAGCAATTAAGAATTGTAAGAATAGCAAAAATTTAAAATCTCAAATTGCCATTAGTTTGTGAAATGTGTGAAATGAAAGATTTCCTTGCAGATTTATAAATCTGAGTTGCACTACCATCTGATAGCTTTTCTGGTTAGTTTAATTAGTTAAGGATCAATCAGATGTTATAAATGGCAACATGAAACATGATTTATAATAGTGTGCTATGGTCTTGCAAAGTTCTCTTTAAGCTGCTGGCCTCCAACAGTGGCCAAAATGAATAAGATCACCGAGTGTTAGGATCTTGACCTGGTTTTGATTTCAGGCAAACAGTCTGACTGCATTTTTTTCCCATGTGTAACATGAATATGTGTCAGTTTTCCTCTGAAAGTCATCACAAAGACATATCTCTCCTTAGGCAGATAGATACCCTTGCATACTTTGACATATTCAAATAACTAAACTAACCTCCTTAACAATTAGGCCATATGAACTGGAAGAATTGAATTCTTTATTGATATAAATAACAAGATTGTACATGTACAGCAAAATAATTACAAATAGCCCAAGTGGGGAAACAGAGATAAAGCAAAACTTTTTTTTAACATACAGGCAATATTGAAGATTGTTAAAATTGCTCACAGAGCAAAGCTTAAAGCAGTAATCATTGAGCAGAACCTTAATATTGTTAAATCATAAACTAAACTAGGTGAACTATTGCTATTTACCAGGGTTCTATTTGTAAGGTTACTCAAGTGAACGTAAGCACTTCAAGAAGGTTTGAGAAAAATCAGTCCTGGGATTTAATATACACTGCTGGCCACCCAAATTGCAACACCAAGAAAAACAAGAGATATCACTACAAAATTTATTAATAGATAATATGTTGACCAAGTATCAAATGATTAAATTTATAGACTTCTGTGAAGTGTGGTTCCTTCCAGAGTCAGTAGCCAAAGTAGCTGCCATTGTTGGAGATCACCGCTGCTACACGCCTCGGCATTGATTCAAAGAAACTTTGGATGTGTTCTTGGGGTACAGCAGCAGCTTCCACATGTTGTCAAAGTTAATCTGGTGTGGCAGCTTGGGATGTAATCTGGGTCAATTGTTCAGCAACCATGGACCACATATTTTCTGTCGGCGAAAGATCAGGAGAGCAAGCTGGCCAGGGCAGCAATTCAATCTGGCAATTGATGAAGAACCCTTGGACAATGTGTGCCACGTGTACTCGTGCATTATCCTGTTGAAATATGGCTGTGGGCAAGCCCTGAAGGCAAAGAAGGACAACTGGCTCCAACACCTCGGAGATGTAGTGCTGGCTGTTTAAAGTATCGGCAATGCATACTAGAGGAGTGCCAGAGTGATACCCAATACTGGCCCATACCATAATAACTGGTGCAGGACCAGTGTGGCGGTGCATAATACAGCTATTCAGCATCCTTTGCAGACAGAAGCGTGACTCATCAGTAAAGACAATTTCATTCCATTCTGCCGTCCACATCCTTCTTTCATCACACCATTGGCTGCGGAGTCATCTGTGGTTCTGCATCAAGGGTAGACGAAGCAATGGACGTCTTGCGGACAGACCACTGTGCTTGCTGTAAATGGTGTCGAATGCTACGCGCAGACACTGGATGATGCACAGACTGAATGTGCTGTGCTATGGTTTGTGATGTAACTGAGCGATCCGTCACTGCCATGCGCACAATGTTCCTGTCATCACGTGAAGTGGTGCACTGAGGTGGATGCGATCGAACACGTCGGTCCCTCATACTCTCCTGCATCCAACGGTCACATATCTGCATTACAGTTGTTTGGTTTCGTCCAACATGACTACCGATTTCCCTGAAAGGTAATCCACACTCTCAGTATGCCACTATCCTTCCTCTGTTGAACTCGGATACTTGATCAAATGATGATCGTTGGTTACTATGAGGTATAATTGATCATTTTTTTTTTTTTAAACCACAAGGAAAACACAATTGCCGAACTTGAAATTATCGAAAACTCCAAGCCTTAAATAGAGATTTGAAGTGGCGCATGTGATATGGGTCAGCGCTGAAATTCTAATCGTTTGCATATCTCACCTCCGTTAATGCATGTTCTAAATTTCATGTTATTTGCATGCTTTCTTCAGGGTGTTGCATTTAGAAACTTCTGGAATGTTGTCTAGTTGATGGAAATTATCAAGTGTTGGGAATGTAGCTACAAAAATTGTATAAGTTAGTACTGTTGTTAAAATTATATAAAATAATTTGGAAATTTTTATCCACAGTTGTCAATAATTAACTTGTATTGAAACTGGAATAGTGAAACCTCAGTTCATAAATTGAATTAATTCCTGAAAACCATTCATCATCCCAAATGTATGTTCATTAACAGAAACTGTTTTAATCAAATAAAATTATATAAAATAGATTAACCTATTCCTGAATTGCAGGTGATCGCTTGCTTAAAATTTATACCATTTGTGCACAAAACAGAAGACAAAACTTAAAGAAATCGTTACACCCAAGACCCAAGGAAAAAAGTTAGCACAATATTATGTACTTAAAATGTATATATATATATATATATATATTAATTTAGTTCTGCCATACACATATGAAGGAGAGTGGCCATAATAAAGGGAAAATATTGAGAAAAAATTTGATTGTTTGGAAGAGAAGTCTCCTTTTGTAAAAAGATCAGCTAACTGTCTTTCTGAGCATCTTCATTTATCTTGTCTTTGTCTCTTAGTGCCACTGAATATTGATGAAGACTCACTGGCCTCTGTTTGATTCGAAATTTATATCCAGTGTGATTTGTTGTTGTCTGTCTCTTAAAATGTTTCTAAAGTAAGACATGTCATAGTCTTTGAAATTGCTTTGTTACAGCTTGCTATTGTTTTATCAGGGTAATATCATTACATAAAACCTTGCACCTCATTTTGCGCAAATTTTGCATATCAAAGAACTGTATCTCTTCTTTTCTTCTGAAGACATTCCAAAAGTGCCTTCTATTGCTGCTTCTGAAGGTTTTTTCAGTTCTTTCCCGTTGAACTTATTTTTCTGATCTGTGAGTAAGTCCTTTGCATTTCCATTGTTAATTATGGTTTTGCTTAGGAGCATAATATTGTAGATAAAAATAAAATAAATATTAATGAATGAAAATAAAATAACTGAAAAAATAAGAATTATAAAAAGTAAACAAAAAGCCCTCAAAATCTCTGTCTGGAAGAAAAACTGACCATGATTTCCTTTGGACAGAATTAGTCTCTTGAATGTCATTTGCTTCCAGAATTTATTATTGAAAATTAAAAACAGAAAATATTAAAATGATGTTTCTATAAATTCCAGAGTGTTACTTCTATGCTCAAGGTTACCTTAAAAACACCCTTGAAAATCTTTTGTTGCTAACTTAATTGTTCATAACTTGAGACACTGAGGTACTTTTTGTTCAGATAATTTATTTGTGATATGAGGTTGTGTGGTATGCTGTGAAAACTAAAAAGTTCCAGACAATGTTTTTATGCGAGTTTGAACTTAATGATACTTTTTAAGTTCTTTTGTAAATATTGTTTTTCAGAGCCATTTATAACTTCGTTTCTTCATTTCAGATTATGTTTATTCTTCCTATGTTTATAGTATGTTATTTTTGTTTTGAATGCAAATTTAATTCATCTATCATTTATTCTTGAGACTAAACTGTTTGGAAATACATATACATTTATAAGGTCCTAATAGTGTAATATTAACTCAAAGTCCTTCAGACTGACAAGCAAGTTATTGCTCTGTCTGTGTAAATGCAACAAAGTCCTGTGAAAGTTTTAAATAAAACTTTTTTTTTTTTTTTTGTTAAATTTGAATTTAAACAAATGGTGCCACTGCTACATATAAACAAAATTTTGACATTTACACATAGTAAAATAATATGAAATAAAAATTTAAAATTATTGTAGCTAGAGACTACACAAATTAGGCCCGACTAAACTGGCTCTGATAATGGCATGTTAATGACATAATTTAATTTTGTTTACCAGGTAGATAATTCTGGAATGCTAACTACCAGAGCTGAATGATAGAAAAGTAATGCTGCAAGCATCACTTCTAAAAGCTGTATGTTTAAAACATTCAAAACCCTCACTTTAAATACTGTTTAACTTGATAGCATGTTGGTAAGGGCTAATGGAAAGAAGTTATATTCAAATCATAAAAATTGGTTAATTAACTTTAAATACCTTATAATTTGTCAGTAATTTCTGTTAATTACGATATGTAGTCTCTTTCCTGTGTGTGTGTGTGTGTGTGTGTGTTTTCTGTTAATTGCCCTTATATTAACTGTGGTTTTGAATTAACCGTGAGCATCATCTACAGTATAAGTGTAGTTGATTGAGGGTTGATTCTAATACAAAATCAACAGTTTATATATTATTTTTAATCAAATTAGTCAACTGTAAAAATTACTTTTTGTAATAAAAATTAAACACTAATTTTAAGATATATGAAATGGTTTTAGGAATGCACACTCAATTAAAATCTACTTAGTAGTAATTTTAGTTCTGAATGCATAATCACACATATATTTTTTCTTCTAGGTATGTTGAAAAGTTTACAGAATTTCTTCAGTTATTTGTAAATTTGCATTTGAAAAGATTTGAAAGTAGCCCACAATTTCCTATCTTAGAATTTTTAGCTCTGCTTTTTAAATATACGTTTCAACAGGTAATAATATTTTCTATAATTTACTTTATTTTTGTATAATTTTCTATAGCTTACTTTCTTTCATTGAGGATTTGTAAAATAATTACATTTTCATTTTATTTCAGCCTAGTCATGATGGATTTTATTCTTGCCTGGATATCTGGAATACATTTCTAGATTACTTGAGTTACAAGCTAAAATCCCAAGATAACAGCTATGAATTAATATTAAATAAGTAATTGTTATTCAAACTACTTACCTAAATGTATAGTTATTTTTTGTGTGCAAATGTAAATTACAATATACATACTTAATATTGATGGTAGAATATATTGTGTTGAAATATAACCATATCATTATACTTGTTACGAAAGTGTTGTAGATATTGTAAGAAATTCATTGGTACTTAAGTTTTGTATTAGTACAACTACTTTTTCAGAGTTTGGTAATTTTTTGCCGAAGGGAAAATTATTTATATACTAACAAAAAATGATTTATTATATACATTCATATTAGTACATACATATTTTACATTTTAATTAGCTATTTATCTCAAAAGTCGATCAACAAACGAATTTTTGTTTCTTTTGTAATAGTGGAAATTTTATGACTTTTCTTTAAGAATAGATTTAAAGGAGTTATTCCTTTTGTGAGTTTATAGTGAAATACTGTATTTCTGCAGAAATTTTACTGTAGTTTGTTCCTTTAAGTTAATCTGACAAAAGTGTATTTTAAAATAGAGGTTTATAATCTCAAGTTAAAGATTTAACATTATATTAATTGATAAAAATCATTAGAATTTAAAATACAGCATAAAGAGAAAGTATGAAAATGGTGAAGTTGTTTGTTAAAACTAAACAACTGTTACGTGTATTTTGCCAGAGTTTTGACACATTCTGAAAATTTGGGAATATTTACTTAATTTTGTTGTGCTAATACTTGAGTATCAATTCATCATCTAAATTTTATTATGTTAGTCACATGAATAATTTTAATTATAGGCTAATTATGAAAAGTTGAGTAGGAAAATTATTTTCACTAAAAATTAAAGATGGTATTAATACGAAGCGTAATTACATTCATATTATATTTTATTATTGAAAATATATGTTTTAGGTACAAAGATGCATTATTGGCTCTAGTGCAAGAAATATTCAGGAAACTTCAGTTTAGGTATAACCAATCAAGTTTAGAAGAATTAGATGATGAAGATCTGGATGATGATGTTAGTTTCTCCTTGTTGTTGTAATATTCAAGTTGACATTTTTATTTTAAATTTGTTTTTTGTAAAATCTGTTTTTATAAAGATCTCAAACTTATTCAAATATTGTTATAAAATGACCTGTTTAAGACCAAAACTAATTTTAAACCTTTTATTAAATGAAACCTTCATTTTCTATGAATTAGTATAGAAATTTTTAAAAGCTCATAATTAACATAAAAAAGTGGGGGAATAACAGAAAACTGTAATTTCATAATTTAGAAGAAACTGGATTGCATAAAACTGTATATCATTAAACTGAAAGAAACCGAATAACATAAAGCTGTTTAAAATGAAAAAAATCGGATTCCATTTGCTTATTAAACACCATTCACTCTTTGTTTAAAGAAAATATTACTTATGGAGAAACTAATACTAGACTAAAATTGTAAGTTGGTTGCTAGAATGCTTGGAATAAGTTTACAGAAATTGTTAGTTAGATAATCCCAAGGTTTCAATGCATACTTATTTTAGCTTTTGAAATGTTTGTATCTGTTAAATGTTTAATTTATCAAAAAAAAAAAAAAAAAAAAAGCAACCTCTTCCTCCAGACTTCCACTGGTATGACTAGTGCAAGTTTAGAGTGATCTCTGCTAGCATTCATGGTTAATGGGAACATAAACTTTGTTTTTATTCTCAGTTTGAGATTCTAATTTATTTGTGAGAATAAAATAACTAATTATGACTAGGGTTTGCTATAAATAAGTAAGTCAAACAAAAACTTTCAGGTTGTTAATATATATAGTATATATATTCACTGATGCAAAATGAAATCCCAATAGCAAAAAGAAATCAGCTTGAGGCATGAAATATAGGCAGAGCATTTGTTTAGGTAACATATTTACTTGATTAAGGTTTCAAAGTTACAGGTAAAGTATGCACAAGCAGATCCAGTTTAAATGTGATACGGTGGTACATTAATAATGATCATTTAGTGATCATGATATTGAATTCAAAAACACATGAATTGTGTCATACAGGTATGGTGTGTCCTTTTGTGGGATGGAGTTCCATGCTTATTGTGCTTGGTCAGTCAAATCAGCAACAGCCGTTTCTGGTTGTGGATGATGTTAGATTTGTTGTTCAATCATGTGCCATACATGCTCAATGGAAAAAATATTGGGTTAACTCACAGCCCAAAGCAGCATGATAGCAATGGTATGAGGATGAACTTCATCCTGTTGGAAAATGTCCCCTGAAATATTGCTTAACAATGTCAGTGCAGTCTCCAGTCTGAGGAATAAATTTTCTATCAAAGTGTATAGGATAACAACAAGTGCTCCTGTTGTCATAGAAACCAGGCCATAACTCCTGGTATAAATCCAGTGCATCTGTGCCACAGACAGCTTACATCTAAGCTCTTATCTGGCTTCTTTCTAGGCAGCATATGGCCACCACTGGCTTCAAGACAGAAATGACTGTCAACTGAAAACAAGACTGATCCCTACTCGACCATTTTGATGAACTCTAACTTGACACTTTTCCAAAATGAATTAGAATTAATCAAAGTCATATATGTTGTTGATTTTGAAATAGTGGATGCTACAGGACCTCTAGTGTGGACCTATCTCTCATGTAATCAATTTGGTGCAGTTCACTGTGTCCCTCTGGTGTGAACAAAAGCTTGAATGTCTGCTGTAGATGCAGTGTGATGCACTGCAGATGTGTGGCAAATATGGCACTTTTCTCTTTGAGTGGTGGCAGGTGCGTCTGTTCATAGTGGCTATGTTCGTTGTAGCATTGCGTGTATTTATTTAGTGTGAAATTTGAATAGACGTCATCCTTGACATGTACCCACATGCCTTCCCCCTTTTTTTTTTAATATATCTAGCACAGCTCTTTGGTGTTGGGATTTCATTTCCTGTCAACATATATATGTAAAATAAGAAATATGTAATTCAAAGTTATAATTTAAATTAGCTCCTTCTTTTTTCTTTTTACGAGGGCTATGTAAGGAACTTTTCCTTTTGACGTCACTAGGCGCGCGTCGTTCATGTAAATTTTGGTTTCTATGGGCTCAGCATCTCAGTTGCCATCCAGCCATCACAAAGGGAACATTTCCATGTTGCCCGTTTCTTTGATATTCAAATTCAAAATGTGCTCTGCAATTGGAAATCCCGCCAGTTGTGAGGTGCGGTCTGTGATATGGTTTTTGTTGGAAGAAAAACCTTAAGCCTATGGAAATTTATCAGCAAGTGTGTGAAGTGTACAGAAACAATGTAATGAATGAAAGTTCAATCCAGAAATGGTGCATTCAGTTTAAAAATGCCCGAACTAACGTTCATGATGAAGAAAACAGTGGATGCCCTAGCGTTGTGACTGACAAACTGGTCGCTAAATTTGATGAAAAGATTTGTAAAAAACCACTGTTTCACAATAACAGAGCTTTCGCTTAGTTTTCCACAAGTTTCTCAGACTTTGTTGTTTGAAATTGTCACATAAAAGCTAGGCTATCGCAAATTTTGTGCAAGATGGGTGCCGAAATTGCTTGCAGACCACCATAAAGATCAGAGAATGGGAGTAGCTTTGACATTTCTGGAGGCATACGACAGACATGGTGATTCATTACTGGATTGAATCGTAACTGGTGACGAGACATTGGTGAGACACGTGATTTGCGAGACAAAATTACAGTCCATGCAGTGGGGGCACACAAGTTTCCCCAAAAGACCAAGAAAAATGTTTGCAAACCTTGTCACCAAAGAAGATTATGGCGATTGTGTCTTGATATAGGCAAGGTGTGCTTCTGATTGATTTTCTCGAACGTGGTGCCACAATAAATTCCGAGTGGTACTTTCAAACTTTGTACAACCTTAGGAGAACAGTTCAAAACAAGCACTAAGGAAAGTTGACGTCCAAAATTTTGTTTTTGCACGACAATGTGATTTTCTCGAATGTGGTGCCACAATAAATTCCGAATGGTACTTTCAAACTTTGTACAACCTTAGGAGAACAATTCAAAACAAGCACTAAGGAAAGTTGACGTCCAAAATTTTGTTTTTGCACGACAATGCCCGACCTCACACGGCAAACCGCACTCAAGAACTCCTTAATTCATTCAAATGGAAAGTTTTCTCTCATCCACCCTATAGTCCCGATCTTGAACCTAGTGATTTTCGCTTTTTGCCAAGAATGAAGAACTGGCTAGCCACACAGCTCTTTGACGACAAGGAGCTGCAGGTGCGTGTCACTGAGTGGCTGAGATCGCAGGTGACATAATTCTATGACGAAGGATTTTCAAAGCTTGTCCACCGCTGTGATAAGTGCCTCAATTTGTTTGATGACTATGTAGAAAAGTAGAATTTTAGTCGCTCTTTCTGATGTATATAATATTTTTTCCCCTTGTACTTAGTTTCTTTTTAATTCCAAAACGTTCCTTACTTTCTGAATAGCCTGCATACTTTGGATACTTCCCCTCTCTTCTAAAATAGTAATAACTTTTTCTGAACTGCATCATTTCTATATTAATCCACCATGTGACTTTAACATACTAATGATGATGTAGCTAATTTGGAAATTAAACCAAAACCTTTCTATTAATAAGCCTCCATGATGAATAACTATGCACTTCCTTTAGGCATTTTGGCCTAGATAAACTGCTTCTTCCTTCTTACGGCAAAGCTATCAAAAATGTAATATGTATGAAATAGGAATGATTAAAGTGCCAAGTAAAATGTGGCCACAAATGTCAATTGAAAAAAAGTAAACATTTAATCTTCCGTGGCTGCCAACTTGCTTTTCGTTATAGATCAACAGCTATGAAATGCAATATTTTTATATTAACACAGTCAACATTTCTCATCATCATTGTTATTTAAAATATATATATATTTATACATTTTAAATCAATAAGTTGATTTTGGTTAAACGTTATTTCTTAAAATAAGATTTACTCCTAGGTTTTTATCTTTAAGACAAAATTATTTTTGAATGTTAAATTTCTTTATAATTATTTTACTTCAAAATAATATAATAATCACTATATATGTAATTATTTCTAGGTATTAAACATTCAAATGTTTCCATTCATCTTAGTTCAAGCAATTATTTCTGTTACTGACATTGTTATAGAATTTTGAAGCATATTTTTAAACAATTCTTTGTGAGCATTAGAATTTTGAAGCATACCTTTTAAACAATTCTTTGTGAGCATCCATTTTATAGTTTCACCATAATATTTTCCTGAAGTAATTCCTGTTATTATAATATGAATCATATATATTTAAATAAAAGAAATATCAATCAGTTTTTCTGATTAGAAAATTATACCCTGAGATTATATTTGAAATGTTTAAAATACTTTTAGTTTTGGGTATGCATCATGCTAATTTTTATACTTTTCTCTCTTTTAGTCATTAACTGAATGGCAACAATTTTTATGTCAGTGCTTAGAAATTGCATCTAAAGTTTCTGATCTTATGCCAAATGAAGTTTTTAACTTAATTGTAAGTATAGCATCATGAATGTTTCTGTTTTTTTTTGGGCCACCTTAAAGAAAATTTTAATTCCAAAAGCTTTAATAATTACATTAATAAAAATATATAAACTGCTTTCTGTTTCCTACATTATTGATATTCAAAGACAATTTTATTTATTAATTTTTTATATGCCTATAGTATGTTTCACTTAAAAAATAAAGACGACTTTATTTTTGTGAAAATATAATCTTGTGTTTTACACATATGCATATGATTATATATTTATATTATATGTGCAAATGTTTTCAAGTTGTATAAATAAAAATGAGATTTTTGATGAAGTGATAAATGATTTAGCAAAGGGTTAACTGAATTTGTTTTAATTATTTTCTGCCCTTTTTTCACCCAGTCTAATGATTTTATAAACTATATATTAACGTTTAAGATGTGGTAAAAATTAAATTAGTTAATATTTAAGTAGAATATTATAAAAATTCATATTTATCTTTTGGCCACTATAGCTGATCTAGTGTTTGACAATGTAAAGTCAATTCCTGATTAACTGGAGACAGATTAACTTGACTTGTCTGTTGCAGAACATTGAAAAAATTGCTATCACAAACCATCAGCATAAAATAAAACTGTTTACAAAAAGTGCTAAGAGGAGGACCATCTACTATCATTCGTGAGATTACACCAATGATAGCAGATGACTGTCAAATGAAATCTGCTATGAAACTAAAAGTCTGTTTGATTTTTATATGCAGTTTGAATTAAATAACATTTTTCAAGTTGTAATATTGTTCTTTAGTGTCACTCGTACTTTATTTTTTCATCTCTAATGATGTTTATTCTTTCATTATTTACAGTATATCTTGAATACTGATTTAGTTTATCTAGCTTAGTGAAATTATTCTTTAGATTAAATTGTTTGAAAATATGACTAAATCATTAATAGTTTTCTTCTGTACATTAAGCATTATTCCTACTCTCTGGACTTTTTAATTGGCCTTCGATGAACTCAGATTTTTAGTTAACTGTGGGTAGCATCTTTTATTATGCTGCTAAATTGGAAAAAGACTGTATACCTAATTAATTTTGAACTTAGTGTAATATAATTAATAAAATGAATACACCAGCATTTAATTTCTATCAACAGGTTTTATTTCACTGACATTTAATTTCCAAGACAAATTTTTTTTATCTCTTTTTTTGCTAGGAGGGGTAAACCTACTAAAATTTCTTTATATTCACTCTTCTTATTTTTTGGTATTCAAACTGTATAATTAATGTTGTAACTTTTTTTTATTACTAAAATGAAATTATTCTTCCAGTTCATAATATTTGAAGAGAATTTAAGGATATATTTTGACCTTGAGCAATATTTGAAATCTGCTGCAAATAATGGCCCAATTGAGCTAAATATTTGTGGTGAAAATGAATGTCGCCGCTTACATTGCAGCCTGAGAGATCTTTCTTCAATGCTTCAGGGTTTGGGAAGATTAGTGGAGCATATGTGTGGAGAGCACTTTAATAGTCGAAAATTAGATGCTCAGAAAACTTTAGAAAAGTAAGTTTTTGTTCATCTTATAAATATTTTATTAACTATTAATGTATAATAATATGAATATTATTATATAATTATCAGAAATTACTAAAACCCAGTTTAACAAAAGGAAGTTGAGAGTAGCAAATCTTTCAAAAATATCTAATAGATACAAAATGTGTATGAAATGTAAGGAAGTAAAAAAAAAAAAAAAAAAAAAAAAAAAAAAATGTCATTCTGATTCAATAAAAGCGCTACGTGAAAAATAGCAATTATATTCCCTAGCAGCTGTATACAACATGGGAATTTTTATTATGAAATTTAAAAAAATAATAAATGAATTGTAAGAATAAATTGTTAATTGTCATAATAACTCAGGAATAGTCTCATCAGCAGTGGGAATAGTTTATTATAACTCAGAAATATTCAGCATTTTGACTTAACACATATTCTAAGCCAAAATCATCATAAATATACCATATAACTTCAATTTCATCATTTGCTAAATCTCAGAGAGCTTGAGAAAATGAATTGAAATGCTGGAAAGGAATGAAAACTTTATAAAACCTAATAAAGATTAAAAACGTAGTTTGAACTGGAAAAAAAAGTATATAAGCTATTGCCATTTTTAGATGACTGTCTGGTCCAGGCTAAGACACAAATACTTTTTACATCATGCACAAGAAAGATTTCTTAGTTTGAGTTGTGAAAATGGTGAATTTTCTATTTGCAGCTTTACAATTGTTTCTCTTATCCTTAAAAAAAAAAAAAAAAAAAAAAAAAAAAAAAAAAAAACTGATGTATACACCTCATGACTTCCTTGTACGGAATATTAAATTATACGCATTTTTTCTTGCATTTCATTTAAACTTATTGGATTGAATTAGATCTACATCGCCGACAGCGCATAAACCACAATAGAATAAATTCATTCTTTAAAATTGACTCTAGTATTTGTTTACCATAGCGATACTCTGGCGCTAGATTCACTTAACAGTATTAATAATTATATAACAGTTTTAATATTAATAATATATAACGGAAACTAAGTTAGCTGTTATATAATCCAATAATTATATAACAGTTAACTTATCTATTTCGTTCATATTATAACTCATAATGCACAAAATTTATATCATTTAAAGAATAGCATTATCTAATCGTTGCCACATGTTCTATTCAAATACTATAATAAAGCTAGAATGATGTATAAAGAAAATTAAGCAAACAAACAAAAAAGAAACAGTTTTTTACAGACGATTTAGTATTTCTCATTTAATAATTAATTTAGTTCTCACTTCGCGAGAAGGCAAAAATACATAAAAACTCAAAATATCTATATTAAAAAATTACGAAGTAAATCTTAAACACTTATTTCCTCAAAAAAAAATTCCAGAAAGAATTAAGCCATGATTTAATTGGCAATAATAAATGAATGCGTTATCTTTGTTGCTGCGAAGCTAAGTTTCTCTAGATTGGCAACAAATCCACTAGTCTCTCTGTTTCAATGTAAACATCATCAATGGCTGTCATCAAAAAAAAGGCTTAGCGGCACTTAGAACAACTTTAAAATTGTTGATAATTCTAAAAAATATTGCATACAGATTTACTAAAGGCATAGAAAACCTTAACCGGAAGATAAAAACAACATAATACAATCATTTTTAAAGCAAAAAATGTACAATTTACAAACATATAAGAGTAAAGAAACTGAGATCATTGAGCCGGGTAACAGAGTGGATATATATATAAATATATTTATATATGTTTGACGCGGCCGATTGCAACCAAAATACGAGGTGCACATCTACATGTTATTGCAGTCCTATATACAAAATTTCAACATTCTGAGGCTACTCGTTTTTGAGTTATGCGAGATACGTACGTATCGAAAATATCCATTTTGACCGCTATCGAATGCAATTTAACGATGTTTTTGCTTGATATCTGTACATAAGGACAGAATAAAATACTCTTTCCTTCACAAAAATTATAAAACTGCTTTAAAATTCTCTTCAGAATTAATGAATTGCATTCGATAGTGGTCAAAATGGATATTTTCATTGAAATATGCTGCCTGAAACTTTTCGCGATTACAATACTTCCTTTTTACTTCGTACAGTAAAAAGAAAAAAAGAAGAAGAAGAGGAAAGGGGGTGTAAGTTTGCACGTAAATAGGGAATTTGCCATCACAAAAAATTAAGAACTTGCCATCATTTCCCGATTTTGTAATGAAGCCTCCCCCCTCTCAAAAAAATGTTCTTTTCGCTAACTCCTTGTTCAGATGAATTATTTTGCATAAATTTGGAACGTTAAAGCAGTTTTATGAAGAGTTATTTAGAAAATTAGTGTTGAAAAAGTTAAGTAATTTGTGGACAATAAAAGTTGAAAATCCTTCATTTTAATATAAATATATAATGCTGAGAACCACTTTTATACTTTGATTAAAGGATTGAGTTAGCTCTTATCAGCATGAGTTAAATTTTGTTAATGTAATACTCCTTGAAAAATAGATTTAATAATAATTGTAATGATGAAATGTAATTGCTATTTTATAAATCAAGGTTTAATTTTGAGTCTGCGACTTTCTAATCTGGATCTTGAACATAAATGTGTTCTTGTGAAATTGTTCTATGCTATGAAAAAATGTAATTTCACAAACATGTCTTTTTATAATGAGAATAAGTTTGAGACAGAGGGAATTAGCAGTTTCTTAAGAAAAATGTTTTTATACTTATGATTAATATTATAATAATGATTGCAATCATGCATTTGTGTAAGGTTTTTATTTCTTAAAACTAGGTTTGCATATGCAGTTTTCTCTTAAATTTGAAGTTCTTTTCTTGTGTTTTTAGGCTATGTCATGCAGCAACATACAGTAACCGCCTGCGATTCTATGAAATGAAAACTGCAGCACCTTTGGTTTTAGAGATTGATTTTATAGAAGTGTAATTATTTTTTCCCTCTCTCATTTCCACTACTAAGTACTCTAATATTAAAAATGCATGTTGAATTAACCTGAAAATATGTGAAATTTATAAATATAATTATTATATTATAATTTATAATATTTATTTTTCAACTCCAAGGTCTCTGGAAATTGTTTCTTTATTTTCATATTTTTTCAGTCATGCTCAGATACTAGCTACACTGAAAGCTTTCTGTCATTGGCTAACACAATATAGCAAAGAAAACCCTTCTTTTCCAGAAGAAAATTCAGGCAATTCAATAGAAAAAGTTATTGCAGACATAGCAATAACAAATATAAAGAAAAAGGTAAAGTTTTACTGAAATAAATCTTCTTGTAGTTTATTTTAGTTTTTAAGGTTTGCATTTGCCTGTTTAAATGGCATAGTGATTAGGTGAGCCAACTGCGATACCGAAGGGCCCTGGTTCAAATTCTAGGGAAGGCAAGGATGTAAATTGTTTGTCCCATCATAAGACATGATGGTGGCCACCTATTAGCTGCCTCTGTAATAAAATTACCACCAATTCTGATGTTCTGGCAAGTAGTAGTGGCGAAAGCCTAAAAATGGCTAGTGCTCACCATAAAAAAAGTTTTACATTCGTATTTTCACAAAAAAATATATTTTGATTTCAAATTATTATTGCTAAGTACATTAGAAACTGAAATTGTATTATATTAATGTTAATTGGGCAATAACCCTTAGAGCTAAACATTTATGCTAAATTTATGTAAAGAATACATTTTTAGAATTTATATTTTATAGCTTATGTACATTATTTTTTAATGCTTTTTTTTACATTACATTTTTTATATTTTTTTAAGTCGCACTTTTTTCCTCTCTCAGAAATACTTTTGTACTTTATCCAGAGTCCATGCTGTACAATAGATAAAATATGAAAAACAGTGCTTATAAAATTTAAATTTTTTTTATTGTGTTGTTTGATAATCATACATATAAAATGAAATTAGTTTTATGAAGTTTCTAGTGGAATGCATAATCTTACTTACATCATGAAATGTTTATGCAAGAGGAATTCTGTTAAATATATGTCCAAATGCTGTGTTTCTGTATTTCACTGTTTCTTGTTATGCCATGTGGCCTTTTAGTTTTCTGTGTGTGCATTATTAAAGCTGGATCAATAAAATTCTGATTTGCAGTTTGATGAGTGTATGCATCTTCTTTCAAACTGGTGTATTGCATAACCAACTAATGTGTAAATACTATTAAAACTATTAGTCACATTATCTGTAATTACCTCCATTAAAGTGTTTGAATTTTGATTCAACCATTTTTGAAAAACACTTGCTTATTTTATTATAACTACTGCTGAGAATCTGTTTAGTTAATAACTTGACAGTATGTTTTTTTCCATTTGGAAAATAGATTTTGTTTTCGTCTTCTCTATTTTATTCTTTGCTCCTATTTTATGATTTCTTCTTTTGTTAAGAACTATGCATACAATTTTACATATGTAATAGCACAAAAGGTATTCTGAATTGTATGAAATGCTGAAGAGGCAAAATTCAGGCTAATTTTCTGTACCATTGCATGCTGTCATAAAAGTTATCTATCATATCAGGAGATAACATGCTAATGAAACTGGAAAAAGGCTGAAATTTTTAGTTCTTCAATTTCTAAAGATAATCATCCCAAAGATCATTTCCTCAAATTTAATATTGCATATTATCATCACAACATTCATCCTATTATCCTATTTATCTCCTCATCATAGTTGTTTTGCTATCATCACATAACTACAAATGTCATTGAATCCCTCAATAAGCTAATGCCTTTTTTCTAAAAGTGAAATTTCCATATTGTATGTTATGTATGAGTATGTGAACATAATTTCCATATACAATTTGCAGCATAAAAAGTTTTTTGATTATTTTGTTGGGAAAGGCAAGATTTTTATTCCTATCATTCTTTGAAGCAGTTCATTTGACTACATAGTGCAGGAACTGCAAGAAAGTTGAGATGAATGTAAGTTTCCAAAAAAATCCAGCAAAAAGTACTATTTTTTTCTGTTTGTTTAAGTGAACGACTTTGTTATTTTTGGACTTACTGCTTTTGGGTGAAGTGTTAAAGCTGTTATTTTTTAATAATAAGTAATATATTAAAATTTTTATAATAAGTTAAGCTTTATTTTTTATATTTTGTTAGCAGTCTCAGGCAAAAATTTTAATTTACTGGTTATTACTCTTCATAGTAGGTGCCAGAAGTAAGATAAAGATCCAAGATAGGAACTGTATATCGTAATATTTGACTCACCTTTTGTGGGTCAGTTTGAATTTTCAGTCTTGCTTAAAGCACCCAATGAGAGAAAGAGTTTACTGTAATGTAGAGTAAATTTTTCATTATTTAATTAAAAATGCACTACATAGTAATATAGCATACAGTATATTTTAGTACTACTTATTACTATTGATAATGTCTTACTGTGCCCAATTCATCAAATAAGTTACACATAATTTCTAAGTTTTATGAATATCCTGTTTAATGCAGCATTCATTATTATTTATATGTTGTAGAATATGTATGATATGTAGAATATGTATGATATATCGTATTATTTATGATATATCACCTGCAGATATGGGGGTACTACTGTAAGTGTATAAGATACATGCAACATTTGTTAAGGAGAGTTGAAATAATGGTATAAAGTATGTATCTGAATATTAACTGATAATGTACTAAATGGTTGCTAATTAATCGGTGTCTAAAATATGTGCTTTACTACAACAGCTTAACAATTGGCTTCATTATTGAACTGCTAATTATAAAAATAAAACATTAAACCAACAAATTAAAATTATCTTTTCACAGCTGTATAATTATCAGAAAAATACTGGTATTCAGAGCTTCCAACATTCCTAGTAAGACCAGAAGACTGCTTATTTTTGATCATGCCTACCAGTAAATTTTCAAATTTCCCAGTTTTTTTAATTTATTTGCATTTACATCATCTCCTTCAAATTAAGTTTTAGAAAAGCTGTTTATCACTAAGTTTCAGATTAAAAGGCAATGCTGTGAAGAAAATTTTCAAGATAAATTTTCAGAAAAAAAGATAAGCTAACAACGTTGTTGTCTCTTGATAAAATTTACTGAAAATTCTGTGTTTTTCTCTCATGATTTTCAGTATAAATTATTTAAATAATTTATATTCCTTCTGTTTAATCTGTTAAAATCTGTTCCAGAGATCTGAGAGGGTTTTTTTTTACTACCTAGTCTGGTATTCATCAGCTCAAAATTTTGAGAAAATTATGACATCAGATAAAATCAATAAGAGGCATTTAATTCCTTAATAAATTCATTAATAAGCACATACTTATTAATTCATTGTTCTGAATCTTTATTTAACACATTTTTCATCAAAATCATTCTGCAATTTAATGAATTGAGTAAAGTGATTTTAAGTCTAATTTGTCAATTTTGGAGTCTGTAAAATGTGTAAAATCCTCCCGATTTTCACAGATCAAGGTTGGCAGCTATGCCATATTCATTATTTTGCTTTTCATGGAAATGCTATTTATAATTAAAATATCATAATAATAAAAGTCAAAATATCTTGAACGCAAAAAATGTATTCTTGAATATAAAAACCTTTATTTTTTCTCTGATTATGCATATCTGTTATTTAGGTACCTGAGAAAGTAACCCATAGTGCTGCTCATCTACTGATATCCCTAACATGTACTGTTAGACCAGCTTTCCTATATCAGTTTCCGTTAGTTCAAGATTTATTTTCAGTTGTAGGGAAATTAGAACTAAGGTTTTTACCAATTGAGGTAAGTAATTTGGTTTCTTTCTTTTATGTCTCTTCTCACAGAATTTGTTTATAGCATAGAATTTGTCTCAATAGAATCTCATTGAATGCTTTTAATGTTGTAACAATATTTCCCAAAGTAATGAACTGTTCTATTTTTCAAAACACCACCTTTGTTCAGCAGTCTCTAATCATGCAACAAATGATATTCTAGATTTTTTTAATGTTACCTGTAGGCACTGACTGAAAATGAATAAAAACTTAAAAGTGTTTATTGCACTTACACTGCATCAAAATTATAAAGCATATCTTATGATATGGAGCAGTAACCCACCAGCAGCCAAGTGATACTGTTCCTGAATACTGGTAATTCAGTCCAGGCTTCAAATCCCGGCAAATGGACTGCCTGCATGGGTATTTTTGTAGGTTTTCCCATGTATAATGTGTATATGAGCCAGTTTCCCTTAGAAAATCCTCCGTAAAAGCATCCCTCCCCTTAGGCAGATAGTCCAGTCCTTTGCCATGATAAAAAAATAACGATATGGAAACTGTGAATTTGTAAAACATAGATTCCTGCCATATCATGTGCAACCCTGTGTATAGAAAGAATGTGCTGCTGAATATCTCTGCAATTATAGATTTGTGATCATGTTCTAGAATGTTTCTAGACTGGCACTTTATAAATTTTGATCTCTTTGAATAAAAAAATCAAACTAAGCAACTTGGGCTATTTAAGGAGTGTTAAGTAACACAATTTGATACGATTCTTGTAAAACTTTTTACTGCAGTATATATATATGTATAATCAGTAGAATGTTTAAATGCTTTTTTAAAAAAGTATTTAAGTAACTAATTTCATTCATTCACTTGTTCCTCAGTATCTCATTACTCCCTTTTGGATCAGGAACACTTCCTTGATCTTTTCAGTAACCACCAATAAGCAGTAATTCATACATTAGAAGGCTGTGGTGTAAATCATAAGATTTGTTTTAGACAGAAAATTTGTTACCCAGTTTTAAAATAAATATTGAATTTTAAAAAAACTTAAAGGGGATTGGTACCTTGAATCTAACAGCTAAATACAACGTTAGTGTTGTATTCCCCCCCCCCATTTTGTGACTAATAATCTTCTTGTAATTTGACAATTTGCATAATTACCTTTAATCTGGGCTATCAGAATTCCTGAAGGTGTTGCTAGAAGGTAGTGGTATGTGTTTCAATGTATATTATGAATGTTGTATGTTTCAGTGTATGCTAAGAATTTTCACATCTATTTTTTTGTTTATGCATTTAATCTTTTCACAGCTGGCACAGAGATTTTTCTGTGGGCCTGTAGTCCTAAATGTCACATAAAAATTTTTTAACAATAATTATGTACCAATATTATTTCTATTCATTAAGGAAACAGAAAACTTAATTCTTAACTCTGCCTAAACCTCTTTGCCCTAAGTATATGTGTAACATTGTGTCCTAAAAAGGACTGACTATTTTTTAAATATAGCAGCAAGAAGATAGTGACAGTTTTTAAAGTCATTCTTACAGAATATTAACGTATGAGGTTAGGAATTTTCTTAGTATCCTTTCTTGTGTTAGTATCAGATTTCGCCAACAAATTGTGCTAAGCTACTGTAGTTCTTCATTCAAGTCTTGCACAGAAGGCAATGTATTGTTCCTGATATATTTGTCAGAACAAAAAATATTTATTGTAATGGAATATCACAGATTGAGTGAAAGTGCAACAGTAATGAGGAGGAGCTTCCAGTATAGATTTAATCTGAAGAATGTCGTGCATACTTATTTAGCAAGACAGCTGTATACAATATACTTGCAAAATTGCTTGGAAATATTTTCTTACAAAATCCAATTATAGCAACCTCTTTGCGTGGTAAAGTAAGACCCATTTTTGGAAAAGAAATATTGCAAGGCAGTATTAATGCAAATTATGCACAGTTTTTTTTTTTTTTTTTGACTAAGCATGTTTTGATCTGGATGACTTTATCAATAAACAAAACTGGTGGATCTAGGGAAAGGAGAACCCTCGTAGGCATTCCATGATAACTGTTGCATAAAAAAAATATTGTATTGGCAGCTATTCAAAGAGCATATAAAAATCTTGATTAATTTGTGGACATTTTAATTCCTTAAACAGTTCATCCAAAACAGCCTGTGCAAGACCTCATCAGACTAGATTTCACTTTCGTAAAAGAATATTTTGACAATTGCATATTTGCATTACAACCCATGCACTTGAGAAGGGTTATATCACTGTATTGGCTACTCTTCCCAACTGATAATGGCCACTGCATCCATTGGATCTCAGTCCATGTGATTTCTTTCTTTGAGGAAACTTAAGGTTGTGTATTGATGGAATCGCATGTTGCTTGTTGAACTGGAACATACACTGCCCATCCAAACTAAAGGATAATGAGAAAAAAATATGCTTACTAAGTTAACCTTTTGCACTCAAGGCCTTTTACTCTCAGGCGAACCAGCAACTCAAGAATATTTTGGCTGTATTAGGGAAACATATTACAGGTACTTTAAAATACCGCAAAAAGTACTGCAGGTAAGAATATCTTATCACACATTATAAATAAATAGATAGAGTTCCAAAACGCTGTAGCGGCAGCACAGTGCACATAGAGTGAACGCATCAAACTTCCCGGGCACAGTAGCAGTGCCACTTGATGGACACTTCAAATCGGCTGGGTGCCGTAGCACCATCACTCAAGTCACTACTTCATACCTCCTGGGCACCATAGTGGTGCTACTTAACATTTCAAATTTCCTGGACGTCATAGCGGTACTGCTCGAGTGGGTGCTTCAAATCGACTGGGCTCTGTAGCAGTGCTGCTCGAGTGTAAAGGGTTAATGTTGTAACCATTGCCCAATACTGTCATTTTTTATATTAATTAAATACAGTTGACCAAAATTGCACTTCCGTGCGTACATTAGCGCCAGAAATATGCAAACTCAGTGAATGACAATGATGCAATAGACACATATTGGAATTCCAGTCTGTACTGTTGTTTAAAGTGAATGTGGCTTGTGAGAGTGATTAGTATTCCATATTTATGGCTTTAAGGAATCCTTTAAGTGAAGGTCGAAAGTGGTAAATGTTGTTGTTGATAATGCTGACTCATAGTCAGCCCAAGCCCACGAAATTCCTCGTAGCCAGGAGTGCAAGTTTATGCCTGTCGTTGGTAACAAGCCTTGAGCACCTTACAGGTGAGAGTGTGATTTAGCTCAGCTTTGCCACCAATTTTGATGGAGAGCACCCCAGGGAGATGGGTCTAAGGATCACCTGTGCCTCTTCTCCTACCACAACCTCTTGAGAGGACTTTTGGCTCGCCGCATCTTTAGAGTGCCCTCATGTGGCATGGGCAGTATACATTTACAAATATCTTTGTCTTCTCCTGCATTCAAACCCAGGCCTTTTGTCACGGCAGTCAGCGACACTAACCACTATACCGCCTTTGCGGCAAGAGGTGAATAATTGGTAGAATTGAGGGAAGTCAGATACAATTGGAGGTCACCCAAAATTTGAATATACCTCAAAGTTTCATAACAAGAGTTTGGAGCCACTTATTAAGTACTGGATCAGTTGATAGGTATCCTGGTCAAAAGCAACAACTGCATCAGAAGACCGTTTTCTGTCATTGTTGGCTTGAAGAAATTGTGAACCGACTCCAAGAGGTTTGGTTTTAGACATTCAGGCTGCTCGAATCAGCCATTCTACTGCTGCACAGAAGTTTTAAGGAGGTTGTACGGTATGCAAGGAGAAAAAAAAAAAAAAAGTGGTTTGTGTCTCACTCACTGCAGCTTTCAGGGGACCTGTTTAAACTGATGCTGTTGTCATGTTCAATGGAGCAATGATGTCTGAGCCCGAGTAATTTTTACTGGCGAGTCCAAATATAGTCTGAATAGTGATTCTACATGGGTTTTGATCTGGAGAGTGGAAGGAATGCACAACTTGCCGTCCTTTGTGCATAAAATATTGTGATAAGGTCATATAAAGGAAGAAGAAACTAAAACTTAATATGGACAAGGATGTCTCAAGAGTATAAGATGAATATTATTATTATTTAACTTTTATATGATTTCAATAGTTGTTAAGTTGAATGAATTGTTTTAAAAAATAAAATTAATGTTGACATTGTTTCAAACAGGCTCGAGAGCCACGTATTGCTCTCGCACGTAAAATGTAGAGAATTTGAATTTGTTTAAATGGATAGGTTTTTCTCTTGTTGATTGTATGTAGCCATTTTTTGGGGGCTTTCAATACAATTTTCATGCAGTGTTCCATCGTTAGAGTTCAACACCACACAGTTAAAGCATTAACACTACACCACAGCAGTAAATATTAAAAATTGGTGGCAGCATTTAGGGATTGTTCCTGAGAGAAAATTTAGGAACAGACTTTTTCACCTGTGAAATTGAGTTAACATTGTACGTTGTTTTCCGTACATCTCGTTGTGTGAGTGTTCCGGACTGTCGAATGGAAGTTCCAGAAAAGGCAGTATTGTAAAGGGCTTTATGTCAGCAGTCAAGACTTTCTTCTCTGCGCAAGAACGATCTAGTTTTAGGTGCAAGGACAGTTCGCGTGGTGAAGCCTCTTCAGAAAGTGACAGTGTGTCAGAAGGGACTGGCGGAGAAAGCGTGATCTAGTGCCGCAAAATAGTGAATTTTCCCGCAAAATAGTGAATATCCAAATTAGTGCCAGGAGAGTCATCAAAGGCGTCTTCAAATTGGTGAGTACCATTTTTGTGATTTTGGAGGAGTTATGCCAGTTATTCAAGACTAGGTTTATTTTGGATATAGCTCTGGGGATCAAAAGTTTTCTTGTGGTTATTGAAAGTTAGTCTTGTGGTTACTTCTGCTAATTGGAATTTAATTGTTTAGTCTATTGTTTTAGTAACTGTTTAAATTGTATGAAGTATTGTAATGGTATGCTTTAGAAAAATTTAGGTTTTAAATCAGTCCAGAGTTAGAGGACAATATTTATATATAGTTGAGTTAGCA